GACGGTAAAAAATACCTCTATAGGATTACAGGAAATTCGCCTGCGAGAAGAGCTCGCACGCTCGGTTCTCTGGCACGGGCCTAAATCGCATAGACGTCACATATGCTCGATTCTAGGTTCGCCTTACGGTCGGCTCGCCAGCACGAGTTAAGATCGATCAGGATGGCGGAAGTTCGCCTTTCACTCAACTCGCCTGCCCGAGTTCAGGGTCGAATCCGCCAGCAAGCCCCAAGACCGTCAGTACAGCTGGGTATCGAGCTGGACAGGTGTCGAGTCAACCTGAGCATTCATAAATGCGACTCACCTCGGCTGTCTGAGTCAAGAGCTGGATCCGCCGGCACTCGGCAAGTTGGCTAGACCCACTCGAGTACTGTGCACCTACTTCACCGCCTCTCCTGACCGGAAAGGAGAAAGCACCGTGCTCAAAGCACGCCGGGCGGTCACGCACAGTACGAGTGATCGGACAGACACTTCATCGATCTGCGAACTCATAAATGCGGTTCATTAATGCTGGTCAAATCCACTCGGATAGCAGTCGTTCGTTGCCTCATATACAAGAATGGGCCTTCTCATCGTAGGTGACAGGACATAAAGCACAATCCCTGGAATGACCATTCATGGTATCGAGGAGCAGCTAGACGTCTCTGAAGAAGATGTGGTCACATCCCACAATTCAAGGAGGAGTCAAGCTGTCCTTCTTCCATTTAAAAGCCCCTTCCAGCACACTGGAGGAGAGGTCGCAAAACTTAGAGAAAAGAGTTGAGACCAAGCTCTCTGCATAACCTTTGCATTGCAGCATCACTGTTTAGCTCCGAGCTCCGATCGCCGGTGAACTAAGCAGAATCGAACTCTATTGCCCCGAGCTTCTACTGCGTACTGAAGCTCTCCAGCAACCTCGATCGAACGGTCCAAGGGAAGCAGACTCGACACGAGCATCGAGCGAAGCGTCCTATAGCCACCTAAAGTCCCCACACAAAACAAAGAGGGCTTTCCCTCTGCTTCTGTTGTAAACATTTGATTTGTTAGTTTGTAATAAGCCTTCTTATTAATACAAACAAACACTCCCTATTTTCGGGAAATCAAATATTCACCCTACAATGGTGATATGTGTATACATACATATATGTATAATACATACATATACATACACACACACAAACACACACACACACACACACACACGTGTGTGTGTGTATGAGTAATGATATTGTGAGATGACGAGCTCAAGTCTTATCGCGAGCTAGACTAATCCACTCATCAAATTTATGATTGTCACCATGCATCTCGTTCAACACGTCATCAAATGTATATGGTAATTTTTTTTACATAATTTTGAGTCTTTTAGAATATGAATCAAACTAATTTGATATTGTTATATCATAGAAAACGTTAAGTGTAAATCTTGCTCTAAAAAGGATGTGTCTCAATCGACTGGATATCAATCTAATCCAAGTCTTATAAAGGTCGGCTCGAAAGGTGTCTTCACTCGTCCTTGTTTCGAAGACCAACTCGAAATACATCCTCGCTTGAGCCATCTCAGATATCTGAGGCATCCTTGCATAGCAAGCCTAGTCGAGAGACATCTTCACTCAACCTCTTTCGAAGGACCGAGATGAAAGGCATTCCTTCTCGAACTTAGCAACAAAAACCAATCACTATCACATTAAAAGCGTGGTCAAAGCCATTACTTCATCTCCCCTGGAGTCATAATGACTCATCGGACCATGCCAGCGTCACAGCCCCTCAGTCACCGTCATAATAAATACAAAGGTGACTCGGACCATCCGCTGCCGACACCTGTAAAGTATCAGTTGACTAAGCCGGCTGTCTAGACTTGGCTAAAGTTACGCAAATACCTTTCTAGACATAGTATAAATAGGCATGTTGCCTACTACATGAAGGTATGTAAAATTCCACATACTTAAGAGAACTAAACAATTTTTTTCTCCTTCAGATCACAACTAACTTGATCGTTGGAGGAACCATAAGAGAACCGAACTCTGGTCCTCTAACGTATTGTATATATGCATGACTCTCCTTCGCTCAGTATTCAACCATTAAAGGAGATTCAGGGACCCTAAGTTCTTCAAAATCAACCTTAGTTAACTTGTGACATTAACAGATATGTTGATTTTTCAGGCAGCTTAGTAGTTGTCCCTTCTACACATAGCTAAAATAATAATTAAAAATTCTAAAAAACAATATAATTTTTTTAATATATAGATCATGATGAGTGTAAATCAGGATAAACGACGTCGATCATCATTTCGGGCAGCCTATTGGCCTAGCTCATGGTAAGAATCTGAGCTCAACATTTTATTTTATCATTTTCTTATATGGAAAATGATAAAATGAGATGGTGAGATAAGATTACCGTGAGCTAGCCCAATCGACTACCTGGTACGATGATCAGCACTGCCCATCCTGATTTGCACTCGATATGATTTATATATATAAATTATATTTTAAAGAAAATTTTAATTATTATTTTACCTATGTTAAAAATGAATAACTACTAAGTTGTCTGAAAAATCAATATATTAAACTGGTTCAATTGGCATTCTGGAAGACGTTAAACTATGCGAAAATTTCACCATATACATTTGGTGATGTTTTGAATAAAATGTAGAATACCGACCATGAATTAGATGAGCGGATTAGTCTAGCTCACGATAAGATTTGAGCAAGTTATGCAAGGTTGTATGATAATCGTCCAAAGTTAAGTGGAGTTTTCTGATACATTTGAATAAGACCCGAGACTCTGGGTCTAATATTAAATTAACGAAGATGTGGGGGTCTAATAGGAGGAAAACCTTACTTAAATAGTTATCATATATCACGTTCCATATTCCTCTGTGACTTGTATAACCAGACTCTATATATATAGATATACATTTTTTTTGGGGGTCCCCTCTCCTTGCCCACGATTCGATGCTCGCGTTAATATTACGCTCTTTTTTATTCTTTTTATTCCGTCCTTTTTATTCTATAAATGTAGCCCTCAAAGATGTATTTTTTGGGGGGATATCAGTCGTTGGCTTCTAAAGGGAAGACGTAAGCTTAATTAGGTTCACCTTTTCTTGCTTTTTTGGCTATTTTTTGAGAATTGCTTGAGTTCTTGATTTTTGAGATTATTGTTTAATTTGTTAGGTTTTTGATTAACTGCTGTTTAACTGAATTTTTTAGGGCTAGTTAGGGTTTAGAAACTGCATACGCTTGAATAGATGCATGATGTAATTCTAAAAAGTGAACCTTCTTTATGAGTAACTTTTTGTTTAGTCTCTTCAAGAAATGCTAGATGTTACATTTAATTTTTGAGTAAATGTGGCAGTGTTTTTTTTTTCTCTCCCAAAACTATAATTTCTATTAAGATCTCATGAACTTATTCTTCCTAGTTTGACAAAAATGCGTTCTTTTCCATGATAAGACATAGGGGTGGGCAAAAACCGAAACAAACCGGTTCAACCGAAAAAATCGCCCGAAAAAACGGATCGGTTAACCGAACCGAATTAAATGGATGAGAAGAAGTCTCTAAACCGCCCGAACCGAATTAAACCGGTCTAGATCCGGTTTGAACCCCTGAACCGCCAAAAAAAAAAACCGAACTGAATTCTTAAACAAAAAGTAGCTGCGAGCCTTGGGTGTGAAGAAAATTTATGGCTGAATGTTTAGCATTTAAGAATTGTGGGGTGGAGTTTATACTAACATATATTTGAGTACGCTGATATAGTTAAATGAGATTTCCGTAAATCAATACAAGATGTTGAGGTTGAAGGATAAATTTAGTGTTTTGGTCAAATTTCAATGATAACATGAATACAGCTTGCTGGTACTGGATATCAAATTAACCTATAGTATAGGCTGTCAAGGATATAAGATAATTCTTGATGAGAAAAAGGCAGCTAAAAATTAACGAAAATCATCAAAAGGTGTGTGTGCCTGCCAAACATTGTTCTTTCTCTAAAAAAGGCTACATAATTACATGGTCCTCCTAGTGTATTAAGCTAGTTATATTCAGATCATACAATTTGATTAAGTGGCTTAGTACAGTTTTGATTGTTTCTTTTCAGTTTTGATTGCTTCTTTTCAGTTTTGGATATAACTAAAACTTACCCAGATTTTTGTGAAATGGAGTTAATTCGGTTCAAAACTGAAACCGAACCGAACTGAACCGAATTTCGGTTGGGCCGAATATTCAGATGAAGGGAAAAAAATCTGGATCTGGATGAGAGTTTTGAGAATCCGAAAAATTCGGATTGGATACGGATTGGGCTTAAAACCGAACCGAACCGAATACGCCCAGCCCTAATAAGACATCTAAAAAGTTCTAGAAGGGCAAATAAGGTAGCCGATGACATTTTCATGCAGGCACTTTGTTTAACCTGTCAAAAATCACACATCATATGCAAGGCTCACCATTTATTAAGAATATTGTGAACAACATAAAGCATCTGACCCCAGAAAAAACGTCGTATGTAGTCTTTGGCTAACATGTGCACATTGTTTTGCGGTCTAAGAAATATTTATTTAAGGTCAATTGCGGATAGATACCCTGTACTATCATTCATTCGTCAAGAGTTCTATTGTTGCAGACAGACCATTTCTACTATCGCCTGAGTGCAAATAAACCCCTTTGGTGAATTTTTTCCGGCTCTTCTACCGTCAATTGGTTTATTTGTCAAAAAAAAATGTCGTTCTCTGAGAGTATGATGTTATCATCCGTTGTTACAGCCGTATATTAATATACTGTTCTCCTGCACAGCTCCTAATCTCATCGAAGAAAAATGGCAAGCGAAAAGGTCAAAAGTGTCGAAACCAAAGAAAAGGGGCTTTGCTCGAGCCTGGTGTACGGAGGGGGCGGCGGCGGTCCCGGGTATGGCGGTTACTCATCGGAGCATTGCGTGGCGTATCCGCCGGCAAGGATAACCCCGCCAGGCCTGCGGGGGTACTCTTCCATGATTCTTAGCTCATCGGCAGCGCAGATAGTGCGTCTATGGATACGTCGGGGTATGGTCACCACGGGTACGGAGCTCCTCCTCCATATGGTACGTGCACTGCGTTACAACATTTTGGTTCGGGTTTCCGTCACGTACGTCAGACCTCTGAATCTTTGTTACTTCAATTTTTGATACTTTGGCTGCCGTCTGGCAACTGGTTAAGGGCATGTTTGGTTGATAGGAAGTATTAGAAATAAGAAGTAAAACAATTCTATTACTTCTGAAATTATGATTAGAAAGTAGCGGAAGTACTTCTTCTTTTGTTTGTTTCGTAAACTTTTAAAAGTAGAGGAAAAATAATGTTTCTTCCACTTCATTAATTTTTTTTTTGTTTGGTAGCAATAATAAATATTGTTAGGAAGAGAAAAAGATGATTTTTTGAGATTTTATTTAGAGTATAAAAATATTCATATAATAACAAAAATAATTTTATTTCTAAATTGACTCAATTTCATCTACTTCCGAGATACTTCGAAGCTTTGAGGGGAGGAAAAAGATTCAAGAAGTAGAGATGTCATGTATGTGTCACGTCAACTTCTAAGGAAGTGTTGAAAGTAGCGTTTTATAAAAAACAAACATACTTTTCTTCTCGAAAGTAACAAAAATAACTTCTATTTCATTTACTTCACGTACTTCATAGCTACTTCCATGTAAACAAACATGCACTAAGTGATGGGTTAAGAAGACTTAACCCCTTCTTAACCCGCTAAACACATAAAATCTATGCAAGGGTTATGTAGGCTATCTAAAAATCACAATAGATAGCTTATCCTTCATCAAACACCAATGATGAAAGTTACAATCTAACGATTTCCAGAAGGCTACAATTTGAAGACTTTCACGTAGATCGCTGAAGGTTACAATCTGACGACCTTCACGACAACCGATGAGAGCTCTAGTTCAACAATATTCACAATCAACATCGGGAGTTACAATCTGATGACTCTCATATTCTCAAGGAGCCAAGATGAAGATTACAAGACAATGATCTTTGCAACGCTATGACAAAAGAGATTACTTTGTGATAATCTCTTCAAGACAAGACGCGGAGGTCCTCCCCGTGTGCCAACATCAAAACGCTGGGGTCGAACCCGCGTTACAACATCAAAACGCGAGGGTCGAACCCACGTTACAACATCAAAACGCGAGGGTCGAACCCGCGTTACAACATCAAAACGCGAGGGTCGAACCCACGTTACAACATCAAAATGCCAGGGTCGAACCCGCGTTACAACATCAAAACGTTAGAGTCGGACCCGCGTTACAACAAGCGAAACGTGAGCGACCCTCGCGTTCTGGATGTTCAGTCAACACCCAACCTCGCGTCTCAATCCTAAGACGCGAGGTTAGGATCCTGAACGCCAACGTGGGCGTTTGACTCATTCAAATATGAGTCGAACGGTTTCAGAACCGTTTTTCCCCACGATCTGAGGAAATCACGCCCACTTAGGAACGGATTTAGAGGGCAGTTACACCCCATTAATCCCCTATAAAAGCGAGTAAACTCAACTGTGTTAGGGGTTCGATTTTTCTTGGCTGGAATCGACCATTGAAGGCTGGCTTTTTGGAGCTGAGAATTGGCAGCAACAGGGGAGATCATTGGGCGAACTTCAGAAGAGATCGGCATCATCCTTCAAGGAAGATCATCTTCAACGTTCAGTAACAGGAGCTTCCTCATCCTTGGCTATTAACCGATTTTCGGTTTAAATCAACTCTTTTTCAAGAGTTAAAACTCGTTCAGAGTTATCAACTCGTTCAGAGTTCTAAAACTTGCCACACAAGTTCTCCACAACGTCAAATCGTGAGCAGAATTCATCGTTCCCACGAGATAGAAGACGGTCGGATCGTCAACGGAGAGCAAATTCGACGCGAGCAATCGAAGGAGACATTCCATCGCTACCGAGAAGAACCCAGTTTTAAACAAAGGAGAGAATCAAATTCGTTCTCTTCTCTTTTGTAATCAAGTTGTAATCGGAATCAAAGGAATACAAATCAATTTTTTTTGTTCTTTTCATTGCAATTTTCTCTACAAACAAAACCCTCTATTAATTAACGAACGCAAAAAAATGCGCAAGGGTTAAGCTAACCCCTCTAGAGGGATTAGAATGAGTTAGCCTCTCAAAATGAGCGGTTTACTAATAACCCTTCTATTTATAAAGAAAATAGTCAAAATCCTCATTATTTCCAAACACTAAAACTGGTCACAAGGAATAAAATAAAACTTATTTAACAGGTTCATAATTTAATCATTTGAACTATCGAATGGGCTAACTACGTTAATCGTTGTTCTTAATCTCACTTCCATAACTCTTAGCCAAACAAGCCCCTAAAAGCTCTAAAATTTTAAATTAGAGCACTGCATCTTCATATTGGTTCAAAACAAGGGTCTTCTTTAAAACAATTTAATGAATTTGGGGGCCTCATTTAGAAATATGAAGGTTTGGAGGTCTAATGTAGAATGAACAAAGATTTGGGGGTCTAATATAACAACTATCCTATTTCTTTTCTACTAGTCAGTCGTGCTAATTTGGTTGGGTTCTTTTCTAGCTAGCGGTTGGATGTTATATATATGAAACCTTAAAATTTTGATTTATGTTGATTACCTAAACGAAGAGCTCTATATCTTGTACAATGCCTATGTAGATGAGTTTACAGAATTGAATACCTTCAGAAATGGGTAAATGACAAAAACGGTCCTGTGATTTGCAGAAATAATGATAGAAAGACCCCCTAGCATTTGAAAATGAGACTTCACCCTTATGTTCAATTTTTACTCAAATAAACATCAATCTTTTTTGATCCAACTGTCATTTTTCTATTACTATACTTTTCTATTATGAGGTAATCGGCATTTTCTATTACTATACTTTTCTGCATCCAAATTAACTAAGAATTAATATAGTTTTCAAATTACTTTGGAGATGAACAAATCTAGAATACCGTGGCTTTTTCGCTATTATTGATTGCACTGATATTGCATGCTGATCAGACTAATCTAGAATCGATAGTGAGTCATGTATCACAATCTCCTTCCTCTATAGGATTTTGTCGGTCTGAAAACAAGCGTACCCTGTTTTTTTCCCAAATGAGCCAACAAGTAGCAAGGACAGTACGTAAATCCAATTCGCTTATGCTGCTGTTGGGGTGGGGGGCTGCATTCTGATAGATATTCCGTGTTACTTTCTTTAGGGCATGGGTCCCATCACGGTGCCGGTGTGGGGGTGTTAGCCGGGCTGCGCTGCAGCCGGCGCAGCCGCTGCTTACGGGGCCCCACCATTCTCTCGTCTCACGGGCACGCATCGCACGGGCTTTCTTCCTACGGCCACCACGCGTGGCTACGGATACGGCCGCCACGGCAAATTCAAGCACGGGAAATTCACCAAGAAGTACTTCGGGAGCCGCAGCAGGTTCGGAGGAACGCTCACATTTGGTGGCAAGTTCAAGAAGTGGAAGTGAAAAAAGGAAAAAAAAAACTATCAATCTTGATGGATGATTGCCTTGCTTTGCTTATGATTATACTATGTTTCAATAAGGTCTATAAAATTCTTATGGCCCCCTAATTGTATTAAGGGTCTAATGCTTGGTGTTATGACCATCAGTTTGTGACCGTATTATGTATGGCATGTGTACTGGGTTACATTCCCTTGTTTGTTCGTGTGGCTGCAGGTTTATTTTGAACTGTGGAATATAAACCTGTACATGTGTTCTACTGTTAGATTTTTTTCCGAAGAAAATGTTCGAGCGCTATGATGATGAGCATATTATTGCTTGTGTATTCTAGTGATCATATGACGCATTCTAGATATCGAGCATATATTATTGCCTCTGGGCTATAACATGACAAACTGCACCAGTCCATAGAAGAGCCATTCTGTAGCTGTCGTGTAAGCAGAAAGCAATGATAATAGGCTGGTAATGGTGATCTGAGCAATTCCTGCTAGCAAGTTGAATCCATTACCGTCCACTTACTGAAGTGCATGCATCCCCATGCCAAAATTTTACTTACCAATCAATATATTCAAAGAAAAGATATTGACTTAAGCATCAGATGGGAGATGATGGAATCTAATACGAACATTCTTTCTATGCGGTCTGCGTATGTGCACGATCATAATATCACCGTTGACTATTCACATTCTCGAATAATCTTTCTATCTATCAGAACCGTCCGTATGAAAGCGATAGGTCGTGGCTCAGATCCGTAGCTTCTGATGTGATCCGCGGTGCATGTTCTCTAACAAATGTTATTGGTGTACTCCCGGATACAACGTCAAATATTTGTTAGCGGGTGGTGCTATAGGGACCCCAAAACATGAGACCCTACGTGAGACATGTGAGGTGTCGGCTCCTTGTCCCGTGATGCACTGTGCATCACCGGGAGCCGACACCTCACCTGTCCCACGTAGGCCCAATAATTTTGGATCCCTAAATTATTTTTCTTTGTTGGCCAATACCAAATCTTTTGACTTGCAACAAGAGACATCTAATAAGGAACCGTGATAGATGCTCACGAGTCGGAACCGTGACAGATGCTCACGAGTCAGAGCCCTGTCGGTGAACGTTAGCGTTCGCTTCGCAACAAAGGTATGCACACGTGTCCTGATCCCCCTCGTCTCCTCGCAACTTAATATAACGCGCTTTCTTATGATCTCTTTCTTCCTATTAACTGCGCGCTTCAAAGATCGAGTTTTTGGGGATTTTTTTTTTTGGGTTCATCGGCTCCCAAAAGAAAAAAGGTAAGCGCTAGGGTTTCTCAAAATTCCCCGCTATATTTCTGTTGAATTTCATGCTAAATCGCGATTCCGCTGTCTAGGTTTTGTAGTTAGTTAAATTTCTCGATCGATTCCCGTGGAATTAAATTGTTTTGGGCTCTCTAGGGTTCTTTAGTTCCATGTTTGGGACAGATACATGATGCAATGTTTTTAAGAAATTTCCGTGTTAGGATGGGGCTTTAGTCTGAAGAATGCTTGGATTTCGTGCTTGATTTGTTAATTGTAGAGTAATCTGTTGAAAATCTGGGTGAGTAGATAGGATGTTAATTAATTCTTATTTTATATTTGGATTTTGGTTCATCATGTTACGATTGATCAAGAATCATAGTGGTGGTCTCTGAATTCTTTGGCATGTTGATTCTTTGATGGTCAGCAGACATCTAAAATGCAAGTTCGGTCAAATTTTGGCAAAGAATTGATGGCTACCTCATTGATTCTCTCTTGTGGCAATACAAGTTTGATACGTTATGCTTTTTTCCTGGTTCCAAGTTACCATTTTTTGTTAGTATATATTCAATAAGGACATCTCAATAGTTTATATTAGGGGCGCAAACAATAAGACAATGGATAAATTGAAGCATATATTGCTTAGGTTTTTGCCATTTGATATAAATCTGTTTATTAAAACTTTACTGGGTGTGGGTGCAGCAAGCCGCTGTGATGCTGGAGGCAAGTTGTGATGTGATATTCTTCTTTTGCAGTAGTGGCGACGTGGCGTAGCCAGGAATTTTTTTTACCCTGGGCGAAAAAATAACAAAGCAAAAGAAAATTAAACAAACTAAGAGTGCTTTGATTAGATATTGATAAAAAAGACAAAGTTGTATCATACACATTCAAAATATGAGATACACAAGAAACAAAAGTATCTATCTAAGTCGAGCTCTACGAGTATGTCGTGAATCAAACTCCTCTACCATTTCTTCTGTGTCGAGGCTGGAAGTAATTTCTTTTTCAATATAAAGTATCATGTTATTAGCAAGCAATTCATCTCCCATCTTGTTACGCAATGATATTTTTATGAGTTTCATTGCCGAAAATGCTCTTTCCGTGCTTGCAGTCAAAACAGGAAGAGTCAACACGAGCCGAATCAACCTATCAATAAGAGGATACCTTTTGGATTTTCCTTTACTTACCAGCTTTTGGCATAATCTTGAGAGTGTAGTAATATTTTGAAAATCAGGATCACACCGCATATCATGCTCATAATGTTGCAATTGATGCCTCAGCTGATAATTAATCTCCATTTCACTGAAATCTTGGGGATAATATTTCTTCGCAAGCTTGCAAAGGTCATCAACTTTAAATGATTTGAAAGAATCTTTTGGATCCAAAGCAGAGCTAAGACTTAGAAGTTCTACTGCTCTATCGGAGAATCTTTCACTTAACTCCATCACTTGTGTGTTAACAACTTCATATAATATATCAAAGCGATAATGATGCTCAATTGTAATTTCATCACTCTGTTGACAAGAACGACTTGTGCCCTTCACATAACGAGAACTCATATCGAGTATATCAATTTCATGTTTTATACAAAAGGATACTACAGACTATAGAAAATTTTGCCATTTGTGATCATTTTTCAACTCACAGAGAAGAGTTTTTGTGATAGAGATAGAATCCATAACAGTTAAAATATCTTGATCTTTTCTTTGCAGCGATTGACAAAGTACTTCTGTTACTCTCATTATTTCAACCATTAAATGTAAGTTAAAAACAAAGTCAAATGAACCAATTGTAGTAAACCCACCACTAGCTTCTGCACGGATTTTTCTATTCAACCCATTTGCCTTTATAATACCAAGAACTTTCCACACGGGTTTATACAAACCAAGCAAACTACAAGCAGAAGAATAGTGTGAGCCCCAACGGGTAGAAGTAGGTTGTCTCAAAGTAGCCTGCTGATTACCTCCAGTACTTGTTTGTAATTCACCTCTTTCCATCAAATTTTTAACTTCTTCCATTTGTGCAGCTCTTAGTTGTTGATTCCGTTTAGGGGAAACACGAACCAAATTCACAATGCAATTCAACATTTGAAAGAATAACTCAATGCCAGATAATTCGCCTGATGTTGCAACTAGTGCAAGTTGTAAGCAGTGGGCAAAGCAATGAACATAGTATGCATATGGACATTCTTGCAAAAATAAACTTTGTAACCCACTCCATCGCCTCGCATATTGCTAGCCCCATCATAATCTTGTCCTCTTATATTCTGTACAAGCAATCCATTACGATCATAAAGTGAACACATCTTTTTGAGAGTTTGTGCGGTAGTGTCTTCAACCCCTATTACATCAAAAAACCTCTCTCTAATAAAACCATCTGCATCAACAAATCTTAACACAATAGCCATTTGCTCACAATTGGATTCATCTCGAGATTCATCAACTAAAATACAAAACTTAAAGTCACCAATTTCTTCACAAATCTTTTTCCTCACCAAGTCACCCATAATTTTCATAATCTGATTTTGAACTATCGGTGAAGTATAACTGGCATTCCCGAGAGCATTTTCTAAGATAACCTCTGCATCTTGCGCATTAAGAGTTGCACTATACTTGAGCAATTCAATAAAGTTTCCACAATTTGCTGAATCAAGAGATTCATCATGCCCTCGAAGAGCACATCCTTGACATGCTAGCCAACGAATAGCATTAATCGTAGTGACAACACGCAAGCAATTTTCTTTATTTCAGCTTCATCTTGGAAGGTAAAATGTTTCTTAATGTTTGATATGGCTTTTTCAAAGCATCAAGCATTAAAACATTTTTTTGATGTATTGATCCTGTTTCTCCTTCATGCACTCGAAAATGACTATTTTTTCCTCCAGCTCTCTTCCAACTATTAAATCCTTTCGAAGTCCAAGCTTCTTGTTTATGTTGTTGGGAGGAATTGCTCTCAAAAAGAAAACAAGGAAAGCAATAGGCACGGTCAGTTGTTTCAGAATATTCTAACCAAGCATAAGTCTTGAACCAATCATGTCGAAAGCTACGTCCGTCTTCATTTCTTGGATATTCTCGAAGGTGGCATGGCCCTATTGCTATGTAACGACGTCGAACCTCATCTTGTTCTTTATATGGATATTTCTTCATTGCTTGACATAATCCTGGATCATAAGATACGATATCCTTTATCTTTTGAATTTTCGGAGGATGTTGCTCTTCTTCTTTATCATTAACCGTTGGCTCCGTGGGCGGTGCCTCGCCTGAGGCTCCAATAATGTCTTTTTTGGAATAAAATAAAAATAAAGTTTTCATTCCCTTTCTAAACATTTTAGCTTCAAATTTTAATAGATTGTGATTAGGATATTAACTTGATTGCATGCATTAAGAAGCATATTAAAAGATTATAATTAGGATATCAAAATTGCTAATGACTACCTAGATAACCATCAATTTGAAAAGAGATCTCTTCGTTAGTGGCATTTGAGTAAATAGTTGTTGGAATCGTTAGAGCTAGGGTTAGGGGGAGGGTGAGGGAGCTGGAGGAGGCTCAAGAGGGCGTACCAGTCGAGGTGGTTGTTGACGCGACGCTGGGAGGCGAGGAGGACGTTGGCGAGTCGGCGACGACGAGGATTTGGTCGGGGCGGTTGTTGGAGAGCTTGGGATTGGCGTTGAGGCACAAACACAAGGGTCATCTGCCTCCACTTCAGAACGCTGTGAGAGATCGTGTGCTCGCTGAGAGATTGTGAGCTCGATCACGGAGAGAATTGACGAGAATCGGCGAGATGAGAGAGAGGATTAGGGCTTGCTCGGCGAGCTGGCGAGAATCGACGAGATGAGAAAGAGAAATGATGGCGATCAGAGAGATGTATGAGGAGCCGCATCGAGCGGTCGAGGGCGGAGGGCTTGCTCGGCTATTCGGCGAAGCGCTTGGAAGTTGGATCCAAAAGGTCGCGGGTGAGACTGAGAGAGGGTCAGAGACTAGGGGTATTAAAAAAAATTCATTTTCTTGCCCTGGGCAGCTGCCCAGGGCAAGTCCTATACAGCTACGCCCTTGTTTTGCAGTATACCCTTGGTCCTATTTAACGTGTTTTTCTTATGTGATAGTTACATTTCTATTTTAAAAATATGTAAATAGCATTATGACGGCCAGTGACACTTCACTGCACTGTTAACTTGACAAAACATATATTTAAGCTGTAATCAGTTAAAAGATCGGAAGGAAAAGAAATTTAATTTCAGCCAATGTGTATCTTTGTACGTTTTTGGTGGGCTTAAGAGATGTTCATACAGCTTCATAACAGAATGAATAAATTGTATTATGTATTCTGCAACATTCTTGCAATTGGTGTCTGATTTCTATTCTTTGTGTTATGGTTGGGTTTTTTCCATTTGAAATCATGTGTTGATGTTCTCTTGATTTTTTGTAGAGCTACTAATTTCTTTGAAGAAAAATGGGGGGTGGAGACAATCATGATGACGCTAGGGACAGGGGATTTTTCTCTAACTTGGCCCATGGAATGGGTGGTAGTGGTTACCCACCGGGACAATATGGTGGGTATCCCCCACCACCCGGGGCCTATCCACCGCAAGGATATCCTCCTGCTCCGGGGGCTTATCCTCCTTCGCATGGGTATGCACCATCAGGCTATCCACCGTCAGGATACCCACCTTCAGGTTATCCACAAGCTGGTGGATACCCACCTTCAGGATACCCGCCAGCTGGTTATCAACCATCTGGTTACCCATCAGCTCCATCACACCATGGTATGTGCATTATATTACAATATTTCCTTGAATTGGTCGCACTGATCTATTTAGTATGTTTTTTAAGAGGTTGCATGTGTTAAGAAGTCTTAATAATTTTGTGATTTATGTTGATTGTCTGAATTAAGGACCCTATATTTGAGTAGCATGCCTATTTATATGAGTTTACAGAATTGAATACCTTAAATAAAAGAAATCTCACACTCTCTAAAGAAATTTATACATGAACATTAACTAGGATTTGCTTATAGAAGTATTATGGGTTTCAAATTAAATTAAATTCATTGTTGATTCATTATCTCATTAACTGCTAAATGCTATGCACATCCTTTTGCACTTCAATTTGGTGGCATCTTCCAGTATTTTCAAAGGCGTGCGCCTCACTGCGCCTCATGCGCCTTATGATGCGGAGCGGTGACGAAATACCCCACTTCTGATGCAGCAGCATCTTTTGCGCCTCGCGTACATCTTTACTTTGTGTATGGTGCATGTAGTACATATTCTCATATAGTTTTGTTTGTTAACATTTCAATCGAGTCTTTATACTTGATATCCATATTCCAAAAAGCAAAATAAATCCATTAGGCCTTTTTAGTAGCCTTCAATTGAGGACCATTACTAATCCTTTGCTTGGATATTAGTCTTGATTTAACATTTGATTTGAAAATTTATGAATTTTGTTACTATGTTGGGTGTTAGCATTAGAAATTAAGGCATTATATTATGATTTTGTAGTAAGATATTATTTATCATGACATTTTTCATGCGAATTCTTAAAACATGTTCTTTCGCGCTTGATTATATATTTAGAAAAATTATGTGGGCGGTGTGCGCCTCGCATCACTCGGGCGCGCACATCGCGTTGTGCCTTGTGCATGTGCGCATAAAGATGCTTTGCGCCCCGCATTGCGCCTCGCGCATTGATAACACTGGCATCTTCCTAGGCCTCTAGATGACGATTGTGATCTAAGATGAAAAATCAATTCAGAAAAGCTGGCTGGTTGATGATGAACTAATTCATAAGATTCTCATATAAATGGAAAACATGATGTAGTTCATCATTTACATCTTCCTCACTTCCTCGCATTTGAGGAAAATATAGGATCACATTTAAATTTATTTAGTTCATTCCTTCTATCACCGTTAATACCTGTTTTTTTCCTGTTTCGCTTTTGAAAGAAAGACCATAATTTGGGTTATGCATATCTGGGGCCTCGAATATTTATTGCGCTATGTTTTCTTCAGGGCATGGATCCAGCAGCATGGGAGGTATGGCGCCCTTGCTAGCTGGGGGTGCTGCTGCTGCAGCTGCTGCTTATGGGGCCCACCATCTCTCTCACGGGCACCACGGGCACCCCGGGCATGGATATGGCCACCATGGGTATGGATTTGGGCACCATGGTAAGTTTAAGCATCACCACGGAAAATTTAAGCATGGAAAATTTGGAAAGCATGGGATGTTTGGTAAGCACAGGTTTGGAGGAAAGCACAGGTTTGGTGGCAAGTTCAGGAAGTGGAAGTGAAACTAGAAAAAGTTTGATGGGTGGCTTGGTAATGCTGATTAAATTCTTTTGGCCCTCTAGTATATGGGCAGCCTTATTGTTGGTAATGGTCATAGATTTGTGACCTCATAATGGTCTGTGGATTCTGGTTTCCTTGTGCAGTTGCGATTTTTATTTTGAGCTTTGGCAAGATTTGCACTGCTGATTATGGTAATCTTTGAGTTTGCTAGTCATATGATGCGTTATGTAAATTGATATTTGAGATCATATTATTGTCTGTGGATTCTAGTAATTTGATGTTTCCCTGCACTGTTGAATTTTCTGGTGATATTATGTATTCTGTAATGTTGATGTATAATGTTTCTGTGGCATGCTGTTTCTTTGGGTATGTATTCTGTATAGTTGATATCTATTATTGCCGGTGTAGATATATGTTATTGCCGGTGTATGATGTTTCTCTGGGTCACTGAAATTTTCTGGTGATACTATGTATCTCGTAAAGTTGATATTTGCAATCTATTATTGCCTGCGGTTTTAATAATAGCACAGTTCTCTGTGGCTATTGAAAATTTTCTGGCGATCTTATGTATTTTGTGCACAGTTGATATTAACCTTTACCTATGGGTTCTTGTAGTATGATGTTTCTCGGAGCCGATGAATCCTTTTTTAGTGACATGTCTTCTGCAAAGTTGATGCTTGTAATCTATTGTTACCCACAGATTCTAGCAGTGATAACATGCGATGTTAAATTTCGTAATTTGGTTTCTTCGTTTTTTTCGCAGTGTGTTAATGGTATTTTGCTCCTTATCGAAAACTATATAGTGACCGAAATCCACAGCATGTTATATTTTCTCACCTCTATTTGCTGCATATAGAAAGGAAGTCTGAACAATTAAGATTTTGTAGCAATTTACAAATACTGAGCTGTTGCTATGATGAGGCAACATAGACGGAAGCAATACTATGTTATTGATGCCATTCTCAAGGGGGGCACTGAAAAGCCTGGATTTTCTAATGTGCAACAGTAAAGTTTTTGAAGCACGATGATTTACTGCAAGAAACACTGCAAGAAATCGTAATCGTACAATTCAAAAACTGAGTGTCATAGTCAAAATCTTGTGAGATAGTTGCAAGATGATATCTTTATACATTTATAATGGTACAAGAAAGGCGGTGGTGCCATGTAGCTTGTGAACTGAAAACTCAAAAATCATTGAGATCATCAAGGTCATCAGATTCTTCAAAGAGCTTCAAGAATCGTGCTTGATCCTGTTGCCTCTTTCTCTTCTTCCAATATTTATGCAAGGCCAGAGCTCCAGCAACAACTACGGCTGAAACCAATATACCGATGATTACTGCAAGACTAATATTCAGTTTCTTCTCCGCTCTCTCTATGATAGAGCCTGTGAACAACACAATTACGTCAGTCTTATATATCAAGTGTATCTCGAGTTCAGAAATTAAAGCTACACACGAGAAAGATATACAGTACTAGAAAAAAATGACGCGAAGTATATTTGCCTCAAAACTGAAATCATATAGTTAAGAGAGAACAAGAAAGAGCAAATGTTTTGGAGTTGGCCTACGAGAATCTATAGCAGATGACCTGCTTTCAGACAAAACTAATTGTACACCACTAGTCTTCTGATAGATACGCATGTGTAAATACATTTAAGTTATAACATACCATAGTACTTAAAAGATAACATATTTTGGAGGATTTATATAGAACTTCTACTTCCACATCTCTCAGAGAAAAAAAGAAAGAAAGAAAAGCCTTTCTGTCGGCATCAGAGAAGATATTTCTGAAGGGCTAGTTATAGAGCAAGGTACTTTTTTACCAATAATAAAATGATCGTCGTGCTTATTTAAAAGAAAGATTTGGGAGTTATCCCCTTATTCATTAACAATTACAGATGGCACGGAAGTGAAGGTTTGTAAAATAAGAAATTCAATGATACTCACTGATAGTAGACGCGTTGCACTCAGGACATATGAATGTGGCATTTAATTCTTTCTCCTTATAATGCATGTATTTTCCATCAACAAAATCATCAGGGCAAAGCTCCCACTCATCAAATATATCATCAGTTCGGAACTTGTTTATCTCATACAAACCACAGCGCTTGCATTTCTTATCTGGCAGTTCAGTGAGAGGCTGAAAATAAGATACTAGTGCCATTAGTCTCCATACATTTTCAGATCACAGTGCAGCAATAGTCAATGCGTCTAGTAATAATGACTTCCTCCACACATCAAAACCAGGGAATCTTAGTAAAACCTCCAGAAAATGCTTCTAGAAAACTCAAAATGCTACGCAGTTAAACTACTTTTCATGATAACATAGACTAATCTGCCATCTACAGCAGTTTCAAGATTTATGCTAGCAAAACAAAACAGAAATAAAATAAATTAAAATAAAATTTAACAAATCAAGAAGCATTCTCTGGACACGAGTTATGCGTTTGCGGACTGCGTATAAGGCAAGCCAAAACATTCTTAGATATCCAGGGCAGACGAAACATACTAACCTGCCAAGACTCTTCGCCCTTGAAAGTGTACAAAAAAGTTTTCTCCTTCACATCTGGCAAGATTGTCTTATTCTCCCCTTGACAGTAAAAATAAACGGTTGGTTTGGGAGAAATCCACTCATGAGTTTTAAAGATTTCGATTGAACCAAGGGTTACAACTCTTGACGAGAGAACTCCTGCAAGGACAATCTGTTTAAGGGCGAATTTCCTGTGTGAAAAAAGGTATCGAATAATCTAGTAATAAGAAAAGGTGATAAACTAAAGGAAAAGAGTGATTTCATGTAAACGCCTGCATACTGATGCATGCATGATACATAAGGTACAAAGAGATTAAGAGCAATATAGTAATGACAATCTAAGAAGAAATCTTTCCTCTGCACTTTATGCAGCCATGGGAAGGCTGGATTGTTAACAAAGGTTATTACTATAAGAAGAAAGCGTGCAAAAGAAGATAGCGTGATACTCAAGAAACTAAGTAGGGCATGAGCCCCGGCAAAAACAAGAGCAAGTTTCTCACTAAAATGACTAGTATTATGAAGGGGGGGAAAAGGCTGATCTGATGAATTTCTGGGGGTGACAAAAACTATCAGCTTGTGATGGATCTTGAAGCGACTAGGTGATGGTCGACTTGTCACTGGAAAACTACATAGACACATGACGAATAAGGGCAGCGTTAAGGGATCAGAAATACCACAAAACGTGAGAGAATGTTCCATCAAAGGGAACTCAAAAGTTGCACGAAAAACAATGAGAAGCGTAAACCCACAATTAGCTCACTAATTAGTCAAGATGAGAACGCAATATCGGAATAAAGGAAGTATGGTTCAAGATCCCGCCGCCAGAGCCATCTTACCGAATTTAAAAAAAGAAACTAGGGATTAGGAGCCAATTAATCCTCCGCAATACACGAACGAAGAGAAACTCTCACGATAAGAAGTGACCGAGAGTTATCCTAAGTGCCTATTAATCCTCTGCAATATATGGGCGATTTCAAAACCCGGGCAGCTATGAGCAAATTGAGAGCTAATTAAAAAAATCTGGGTGAGACAGGCAGGACATTGGTTCGATGAATGATCAATGAACACATATGAGAGTTTTCCGTAATAAATTGTCCGTGAAAAAAGAAAATACCGAGGAACGGAACACTCAGTACAATCTCATATACACGTTAACCTTTCAAAATAATTGACAAAACAAACAGCATCGTTCAATATTCAGCGAGGCATTTCATCAAACACATTGTGGGCATTATATAGAAACCTTAAAAAAAACAATACCGGGGAACGAAGAGAAGAGGATGCTGAAGACTGCGAGGAGGCGAGAGATCAAGCGCGGTGAGTGTCGAGATCTGCTCATTTTGATCGGAGTCCGGGCACTTGACGGGTTTTCGATCGGGAGATTTTGGGTGGGGCCCGCTGGCGACGGGAGAAAAACAATAGATGATAAATAAATAAATAAATATAAGTATTTTAATGTTGGCCAAAACGCTCCCGGAGCATGCAAACAAATGGGAGATATCGTCCACTACGGTCTCCGGGGGCTCATCAGAGATCCTTTCCAACTAGACCAAAGGTACTCATATTTTAGTATTGTTATTGTTATTATTATTTTATAGTGATATTTATTTTGAAGAAAATAACAAGAAGTGCAATTCATAATTCAAATTATATTTTATCTTAAATTTATACGTAAACCATGTTTGAGTTTTTTTCCCACTAGATAAAACTCTAGTAGTTGCAAATTACTGGCATGAGGGTCAAGTGGGATAAGCTAAGTTCACGAGGGATTTGTGAGACCCCCATAGTTCAGGGGGGTTAAGTGAATAAAATAAAGTTTGAGGGTTCATGTGCACTACTCCCTAATGTTCAAGGGGCTTCTGTGAAATTAACCCTATTTTTTCCCGCATCCAGTCAAAATTTTTACTAAAAACTCAAAAATATTCTTAAAAACTTATACTCAAGACACATTATTCACTATGTCAATATTTAGATATATATATATAGGATACAATACACACACCTTAAAGGAGCGGCAAATAGTTTATATTTAAATAGACTGAAATTATAAAGTATAAATATTTGAAATGTATGTACCGAAAGGAACTGAAATTTTTGTGCAAACGAGAAAAATGTAAAAGACTAGTTCAAGCATACCGATAGATCAACCCACATGTTCAATTTATGTATAGTTTCCAATTTTCTCCTCATTGATTTTACTGAATTAATTATAAATTTTTATTTCATTACTTATTTATTTCATATAGGATACCTACCGTTGCCAGCAGGCGCGTAACGGTTATCAGCTGCCAACCATTACCCGCGTTCAGATGCTCCTGCGGACCACGTTACCGCCTCCCAGCTCCCCAAACCCGCGTCCTCTCTCCCAATTTGTCGCTGTCTCCAACGTTCTCGATTTTAATCGCGAATTCTGCGGCGGAATTCAATCCCCAAAGGAACCCAGTTCTCTTTCTCCTTCGGCCTCTTTGCCCTTCATCCTCCCCCCTCTCTCTCACCCGCCATTGAATTCGAGGGAGGAGAGAGAGAGAAACCCTAGAAGCGACGATCAATGGATCTCAAAGGTCGATTCTTGCTCCAGGTGCTTGTCTTTGTGCTAGCGGCTGGCCTCGCCGCCTCGACCGCCTTCATCTCAGGTGACGATTTGAAAACGATAGTTTGTTTTTGGGGGGCGTTTTGTAATTTCTGTTTTGTTTGTAATCGTTTCGGTTTTGTTGTTCTAGATGCTGCGCTCCAAGCTCAGAGATCTACCGGCCGGAATCTCCTGCAGACGAGAAAATGTAGGAAAAGCTGGCATTTTGTTTCTGTTCTTTGAGGGAAAAATCGAATCTTTTGATTGCTTTTGGTTGATTTGCCCTTTCCTGGATGCGCGTTTGATTTTTATTGAAATACATTATTGAATTAGCAAATGTTGGGAGGTGTTGGATAAGTCGATATGCCGATATTTTATTCAAATTAATGTTTGAGGGCAGAAAATCGTGATTATGTGGATATTTTGTAAATTTTTTGTGAAACTTGCTGGAACTTATATAATTTGGATAAGGGAATTTTGATTACTTACTAATAATATTTGCCGTGAATTCTATTTATTGATGTTAACCAAGTTAGAATGGTTTTGTTTCATTTGGTAAGTTACTAGAAGAAAAAAAATAAATAAAATTACACAGTAGAGTTCTTCATAGAAAGGTATAAATTTGATTGGTTTTCTCAATTGTCCCTCCTCAAGTTCATTCAGATATTTTTAACATGTACTTAATCTACCTGTTTCATCTAGATAAAGTGAATTGTTTTGATCTCCAATTGTATAATGGTTATAGAATCAAGATGTTAAAGGAAATTATGAGCAGTGTTCATACGGAGTGTCCAGCAACAAGTGACCAAATTTGTCTAGAAATGTAAAACTCTTTACTACTTTGTTTTTTCAATTTTGTGAAGAATCAGAGATCAGTACAAAAAATGTTTTAAAATCCTTGTATCTGTTATCGATCATTCTGTGAAATGTACAAATTAACAATATCCCACAATTGGAAATGCACAACACCTGAATATTATCCACAGATATGTAGTTTCAGAATGATGTTTCAAACAAATTCTTGGCTATACACCATCATTTCCATTAGTCATCTTACCATGTCAAAATAGATAATGTTATATAAAGGCTATGTGAAGTATTATATAACATATACAACAATCTAGTTCATCTAGTTTGTTTTAATATTTTCTTTCTCCATTAATTCATGTCCCTGTTATTTGTGCAGCTTGCTCTGTAAACTTTGAGTTCATGAACTACACAATCATCACAAGCAAATGCAAGGGACCCCTATACCCGGCTAAGCTCTGCTGCGACGCTCTCAAAGACTTTGCATGCCCTTATGCAGATGAGATCAACGATGTCACAAATGAATGTGCCTCGACTATGTTCAGTTACATAAACCTTTATGGTAAATATCCTCCTGGCCTCTTTGCTAGCGAGTGCAAAGAAGATAAAATAGGGCTTGTTTGTCCTGCTGAGTCTCCAAAGGCGGCTCAGGATGCTGATGCCAGTGGTGCTTATGTTACAAGGATGATCTTTCCTCAGATTGGTCTTGTATCGGCGCTTGTTCTAGGGTTTCTTTTCTCTTGAAGATTGCTTGCAAATGGATAATCATTTGATGGGTGACTTGACATTTCAATGTGTATATGTATTGTGCTGAAACAATTATTTGGCAATGAAATTTATTTTCAGATTTGATTTTTTTGGCTCATGACTAGTCATTTTTTATACATAACATTTGATGCTTAACCTGACATAGTGAGAGTTGCAAATCAGCTGTAGACACTATCTTGTAAAATGCACAATGGGTTTCTTCATCATATCCATTTTACTTGACTGCAACCATAGATACGATGCATTGTCAAGTTTTTATGACTACAAATAATTTAGCATCACTATTTTCCTGATAATATTTTCAGTATGCACATGCAGTTGCTAACACACTGTACTGGATAAATCTGAGTGCATAACAAACACATCACATGTTGTTTTAAAGGTATTCCTCAAAAATATAAAATGTATATATCGAAAGTTTGCCACATCAATATAGAAAATTGTACGCCCAAAGGATGTCAACAGTTGGATCTGGGCAGGAACCTCAAATCTAATGATACAATGGTTGACATCATTTGGGTGCACATTTAATGTCATGGACCCCGGTACATTCATACTTTTCCCAATAGAGGATCCTCCTTCCTCAGTCTAAGTTTCCATTATTCATGCCTCATTTTTCTTGAGTTTAATCAATAATGAATTTATTGGACAATTGAATAATAAAACTCATTCTGTTGAAAATAAATAAGCTTGAACTCTGCACGATAGAGATACATAACTCGCGGTGAGGCTACATTAATAATAAGCCATAATTTCTTCAGACAGTTTAATCTAAAAGAATTTAGAATGAATCACATAGGTTGAGGACAGAACCCTATCTATTATATGTACTATTATACATTGGTTATATCGAACTTCATTAATTTCCCCTCCTTAGTTTATGGCAGTGAGAGGAACTCTGGAGGGAGACTCGAATGCTCCAGAAAATTGTTTTGCTTCCCCATGTGCTTGCTTTGAAGCGGAAGGGTTCAGTTCCCAGAATGACTTTAGCAACTCCTCAAATGCTGGAGTTCTTAGCTCTTCAATAGCCGATGTGCTCGGTAAATTAATAGACCTTCTTTTGGGAGTTGAACAAGATGGTTCATCCACCTGAAAAAAATTTGATTTAAAGAAACCAACAAGAGCAGAAAATGTTAGATATTGAAACTTCTCATCACAACTTGCGAAGATTATGCAATGTGCTTACCCTATATTCTACTTCGAGACATTTTTCTGCATTTTCTGAGATATCGGTGATCTTGTGATGATGCCCACTCTTTAAGTCTCTCAGTTCCACGCGACAGGGAACAATCATGGAATCAATATTGCCATGTGCATCTCGGTCGAGTTGTGTACAACCTGAAGGAAAAATGTTCTCACGTCATGAAATTACTTGTACTAAAAAGATTTTACGAATAAAGATTGGGGTAGAACTCACGTTCAATAGAGGAAAGGATTTCCTTGTTTGCAATATCGACATCATCTAGAGCAGTAGAGGCAACAGAAGACAGCTTAGAACGCAGTTGCCGATTGGTTTCAATTTCAGTCCTGCACATGATGAATAAATACTATTCAGCTCTGTCTGAAAAACTTGAGTATAGCAATTATCTGCCAGATTGTCAGCCAAAAATAGATAGTTTACCTAACAATAGAATCAATTTGTGCTACATATCCTTCTCCAAGTTCAAGCAGAGAATCTTGAGCAGTTCTCCATAGATCCGCACAAGTTGTGGTCTTTGCCATACTGCAAATTTCATAAGAATAAATTTGTTTTAGTACCATTAAATAGTTAAAATTTAACCTTGACATCTGTCAATTCTTACCATTGTTGAAGATTTTTTTCTAGGTTTTGTTTTCCAGTTTCTACCGAGGCAGTGTCCTCAAGGTAGTGGCTCTCAGTTTCTTCCATGTATGTTGTCCATTCTTTTCTTACCGCAGAAGTGAATTCGGAGGCAGTGCTCATCTCTGACTGTAGATTAGTGGCTCTATCAGCAGCACTTAGGTGTAGATTAGTGACTGCCTCTTGAACCTAAACATGGACAATTTCAAATTAGCTTGACATATAGGAGTTCAAATTAGTTATTTTGTTGACTTCATATTCAGTTAGTATGCTCACCATTTCAAATTACCTCTGCCATATAGAAGTCCAGATTAACTAGCAAACTTCCTTAGATTTGATGTCTTTTGTTGACTTAATATTCAACTACTATATATTTTGTTGACTTAATAATAGTCAATTCCTATATATTTTGTTGACTTAATATTCAATTACTATATGATGCTCCCCGATTCAAATTAGCTTGCCATATTGAAGTTCAAATTAACAAGCAAACTTCCTTAGATTTGATATATTTTTTGTTGACTTAATATTCAATTGCTATATTATGCTCAACAATGCAAATTAGCTTGCCATATAGAAGTTCAATTAATTAGCAAGCTTAGATTTGATGTAATTTGTTAACTTCATATTCAATTACTATATTATGCTCACCACTTCTTTCTTTCTTGCTCTTGAACTGGCCAGCATCTCTGCTATATATTTTGTTGACTTATATTCAATTACTATATGATGCTCCCCGATTCAAATTAGCTTGCCTTATAGAAGTTCAAATTAACAAGCAAACTTCCTTAGATTTGATATATTTTTTGTTGACTTAATATTCAATTGCTATATTATGCTCAACGATGCAAATTAGCTTGCCATATAGAAGTTCAATTAATTAGCAAGCTTAGATTTGATGTAATTTGTTAACTTCATATTCAATTACTATATTATGCTCACCACTTCTTTCTTTCTTGCTCTTGAACTGGCCAGCATCTCTGCTATATATTTTGTTGACTTATATTCAATTACTATATGATGCTCCCCGATTCAAATTAGCTTGCCTTATAGAAGTTCAAATTAACAAGCAAACTTCCTTAGATTTGATATATTTTTTGTTGACTTAATATTCAATTGCTATATTATGCTCAACGATGCAAATTAGCTTGCCATATAGAAGTTCAATTAATTAGCAAGCTTAGATTTGATGTAATTTGTTAACTTCATATTCAATTACTATATTATGCTCACCACTTCTTTCTTCCTGGCTCTTGAACTGGCCAGCATCTCTGCTACCTTTTCTAGCAACTGCCTTTCCTCATTAGCAGCAGTTTCCTACAAATACAACAGAATGAGATGTAAAAATAGTGTAAGATTAGGTATTATGTATCCTAAAAGGTATATTACGGTAAAAGAGTCACCTCAAACTTTATCTCAAGCTCACAAAGCTGCTGCTCCTGTAAATTCTGTGATTCTTCCATAATCTTACTTACTTTTGATGCATGGACATCCAAAGTTTGGAAGAAACTAGTAGTCATCTTCGAGATGGACCGCGTTGTCTCCACTGTTCTTAGGTGTCCCTGTTGTTTATGAGAGTAGATTAAAAAAAAAACTCAACAACAATAAACAGAAAGATTATTATTATTATTATTATTTAACTCATTGATGCTAACCACTCGTTGCTGCTGTACAAATGCTGCTAGTTTGTCCTCTTGATTGGCTAGACTGCACTGAAGCGCATCAAGCAACTGACTAGCCTCAAATGCAATACCTTTGAAACTCTGTCCGAGGTTAGAAAAAGGATCAACATCTAACAGTTATAGTTCAAAAACTTCATTTCAAAAGGAGAAGGGCGAAATAGTAAACACCCACCTTCTCAAGATTAGAATAGTGGATCACTGCTTGTGAGTTCAGATTCTCTAAGGTTGATTGAGAATTCACATTGAGTTGCTCAGCTAGATCATCTAGTGCTCTGATTCCAGAACCATACATGTCTTTAAGCGCTCCCATTCGCCCACAAATTTGTTCTGCAGCCTGTACAGGATAAGAAAAGAATAAAAAATTAGGGTTCAAAAATCTCTATCTCCCACAAATTTGAAGTCTCACAGAATACCTCAGCCTTTCTGGTAACAAAAGATTGCATCTCCTCTTCCATTTCTTTCAACTGGTTCGATTGTTGAGTCACAGAGGCTGAGACAGTCTTATGCAAGAGTTCCAACTGCTCAGATAACTGAGCGCGAAATCTTTGTACCAAAGCTCTGTTTCCATCTTCTATAGTATCTTTTCGTTCTGAAAGCCAAACCGAGATGAAGCTGTTAATAAAAGAGAGCAATATATTTGTATTATTTTGAAGCGACAAGTTCCAGAAGATGCACTGACCAATTTTAGAAAATAAGCCAGACACATCGGCAACTGCATTTTCTAGCTCAGATCGGAGCTCATGAGCACGCTGAACAATTGCTTTCTCTGATTTCTGGAGATTAGTTATCAAATATTCCTTTTCTCTGATAGTTGAGTTAGCTTGATTGTATCTTTGTTCAAGATCAGATAATGTGTGTTCGGTGTCTCCCAATTTCCTCTGTAGATAGCATATGTTAAATTTCAACTTCATTCAAGGGCTTTAGCAGACAAAGGTAAATGTTAACGTGCTTACCCTAGTCTTTTCAAGTTTATCATTTAGATCTGCATTCTTGTGTTTCTCGGAATCATTGAGATCCTGAAGCTCAACAAATTTCTGTCCCAAAAGATGGTTTACATTTAGAAATCTCGGTGACTAATAATACTATCCAGTTCAATAGATCAGAAAACTACCTTGTCCTTGAATTCCATTTCAAGCTCCAATCTCTCCAGTTTCTCGCTCATGGCCTAAGAAAGTGAAATAGATGTCTGCTTAATAGGTAAATTCAAGGTATGTTACGTGTATTTGTGTATGCGTGTAACTGTTTTCGTGTGTCAGATAAATTTACTACAATACTTATTAGGGTAAAGAGATAAAGTTACTTACCTTTTTCTCAGATTCATCGTGAAGATACCGTTCCCTTGGAATATATACACCATTCTTCTCCCTCGCAGCATACACCTCTGGTTTGAGAAAATTTTACACCCTACATTAATGTCATCTTCTACCATATAGATACAATGATGAAGTTTAAACTAGGATGAAGTTAGAACCTTGTTTAAGCCGGTCAATTTCAGAGTACAAATCCTTGATGAGTGCAGATTTCATCATTTTCTGGTTAACCTGGAAAAGTACAGGAAAAAAACGTTAGTTCTAAGCGAAGCCTAGGAATATTTCCTTTTCAACCTTTAACCAGCTCGAAGCACATTAATTCACCTCTGGCTTATTCTTGATATTCTTTGCGCGGTGTGCATAATCTAGAGTGCTCAGTGTCTCTTCCAAACAATGAACTGAAGGGGATATGGTGGCTATGATGCAAGTCTTTGTTTTCCCTCCTAAAGAATCCCTTAATAACCTTGTCAATTTGCTATCTCTGGAATACAAACGAAGATACATACAAAATTAAGCCAAATCATCATATAAATTTCAGGAATAATTGGAAATTAATCAGTAATCAAAGGACCTGTATGGGATGTGGCCAGAATGCTCAACAAGAGCATTTATAACACGACCAAGAGTGAGCAAGCTTTTATTGATCTCTCCAGCTTCCCTTGCTCTTCCCTGAAATAATAAAAGTCATACACATCCCACCCAAATTATCATCTCTTTGAAAATTAAACGGGTAAATCTACTCACATCTCTAGCCCCGGATCTCAAAATGTTTTCAGACCCAGCAAGATCAACAAGATTAAGTTTCCCAGATTTGATCATCTCTTCACCCTCCGGAGTGCACTCTTTTATATGGATTGTAATCGAAAAAATGGAGTGAGACCTGCTACTTTGTTTGTTCAGCAGAGTTTCAGCCGTACGCCTCTTTGAAGAACCTTTATCCAATATCTTATATATTTCATTCGCAGTAGTAACTATCTCCTCTTCAAGGCCTCTCACAAAAACTCCCCCTTTTCCGTCTTCCATTAATGCTATAGGCTTCTTTGACTTGTCCTCTGAGAATTTCGATTCTTCAGGAGCCAAAAGATCAGTTATCTCCTCATTGTATAGCTCGAGAAATGTGACTTTCATGCTGTATTCAGCACTCTGAGCCTCGAGTATCTCAAAGATTTGTCGAACTGATCTTGGAATAACACCAGCATCTTCAGGAAATTCTCCATTCTACAATGAAAATCCAGAACGCATTAAGGTAAAATATAATAGAGTTCTATGAATTCAACTAATAACGATATGATCACTGGGCTTACTTTCGCCAATCTCCCTCCTTCCATAGTGTAAGTTTTTCCTGTGCCAGTTTGGCCATAGGCAAATATAGTGCAATTGTAACCCTCTAAAACCTCATTAACAATAGGGGCGACAGCGTGATCAAATAAGTCCTTTTGTTGGGATGTCGGCCCAAAAACCTGTTTAAGATTTTTGGAAACATTAGTTATTACACAAGCCAGTCAAATATTATAGCTTAGTAGTAATAAAAAAAAGAGTAAAATTAGGATATTTGTAAGAAACGGATCTAAATAAGACCTTGTCGAAGGCAAAGGTTCTATCGATCTGTTTATGACCAATGTTCTGAATGGCGGAGATTTCTCTCCTGTTCTCGTGGCAAGATATGACCACGGGAGTGTTCACCTTTATCTCTTCCTCGCTTAAAGGCCTGATATTATTTGAAATAGCACAGGAAATTAGTCTCGAAAACTGAAAGCACCGATTCTAGCTATTTTAGGCGTCGGGAAATTGCTCTTCTTTCCATTACAATGATCTAATTGGCATTCAAATTAAGAAAAGAAAGCCAGAGGATAAGGAAACTGTAGGACTCCTTTTTCCTTGATATCATCGCTCAAATCTTTCAACTTTCTCAAATGTGATTAATCCAAAACCTTTTCCTCTTTAGCTCACTTAACTTAATAAATCCTGAACTTAGACCTAAAGCTAACATATTGCCAAAATTAAACCATGAAAGATATTTTAAAAAGAAAACAAAACAAAATTACCTGCATCTCAGCAAAACTTGTATATTAACCCCCTTCTCTCGATCATGCCTGCTCCCAGAACTCCCGCTGCTATCGCTCGATCTCGAATCTCTCGCCGCTCTATCACTCGACTTCGGCGTGTGAAACGGCGACAAAGAGTTCATTCCCCCTCCTCTCCTCTGAAAACCCTCCATGTTCGAATACGAGAACAGATACAAGAGCCCCTTCTCCTGCAAAATAAAACAAAAATTCACTGAAAAAATGAACCAAAACTCGCACTTTTACCCCAACCCCAAACGCTAAAGGATAAACAAACCCTAGCTTTGCTCGATCGATCCGAGGGCATCATAAAAATCTTTCCTTTTTTGGGGTTTTTTCTTTTTTTACTGTGAATTGTAGAAGACAAGGAGATAGAATTTGGAAACTGCAGATTGGACTTACAGTGATTTGGGAGCTGCCGGCGGCTGCCGACCAACGATGAGTTTTTTTAGGGTTTTAATTCGTCAGTTTTTTTGTAATTAAAGAGCGGAATGCGCAAAGAGAGAGAGGGAGAACGAGCTGATACTTAAAAGACAGCGAAACGGCAGGAGACGGCGTTAAAGAGACGGGGAGTTCCAAAATTTGACGGCGTTTATAGCCGTTGGGATACGAATTCGACCGTTGAAAACTTGGAAAGAGTCGCGCTAATTTTTTTTTTCTTTTGTTTTTATTTTTTTTTTGGATTTTTAATATTTGAGGGGAAAGGGAGATGATGATTATTGAAAGGGAGCGGTTGTTGTTTGAATTTTTAGCTGAATAGATAGGGAGAAGGAATGGAGACTAGTTCTCTTAGGGGGGGTTATTCGTTGGTGTAATTTGGTGTAATTTGGGGTAAATTGTTCCAATGGGGTAATTTTACCCAATGGGATAATTGAGTGGGATAAAGTGGGGTAAAATGGGGTAATGGGACAATTTGAGTGGGACAATTTTAGTATGACATCTTTTTATAATATTATATTTATAGCTCAATTAAATTCAAGTTTAACTTGATATAACATCAAATGATTAAATAAATAATAGTTATAATATAAAATAATATTAATTTTTAATATTATTTTAATATAAATATTAAAAATAATATAATAATATTAATATTAATCAATCTTAAAATATTTTGATATTTATTTTAACTATTATGCTAGATTAACAAATTTTTTAATTGCAATAATTATTTAATCATTCATACATCTAATTACAGTTCTATATATTCCCATTAACATATATGAAATGTGACTTTAAAATTATAATAATAACAATGAATAAAGACATATAGTAAACAGACTTATGAAGACTTTAAAATTACTGAGATGTTCAAATAGTTCCAAATTGGCTGTTAAATTGTTAACAATTGTATAATAGAGAGGAGAAAACACAACAAAGGAAGGGGCTGTGGAGTGTGCAATAGATTTCATAACATACAAAAGATGCACTTGAACCTTAAGGAGTTTGTAAAAACATAAACCACACAACCATTACAAATACAACAAGGAAACAATCAACAAAAGTATTTTCTATAAAACATTGCTTGCTGTTTTTATAGTCACAAGCAATAAGCTCCACCTACAGAGCTGAAAGAACCATATTTTGCATCAGCATCTTCTTCATAACTCCTTCGAGAAATAAATATATCGTGCATGATTATCAGAATAGGGTGCACGAGAAAGCATCTCAATATCAAAGTCAATCTTCACCTCCCTACAACAACCACACGAAAATCAAATTCAGAATATTAGGATAACATCGTTTAGACCCTCTTATGTACCAAAGAAAATAATCCCAGTTGATCAGTGTACATTGCAATGTCATGAAATAAAACGAAGCCAACCTGCTAAAGTAGCTAAAGTAGTGATGAATCTTGTCAGTGAAATGCGTCCCATAGAAAGTCCATCGATTCACAATCTGCAGTAAAGATAATTTTTCTTATCCATTAGAATTATCCTCCGATTTTCATCTATATTATCATAATATGAAAAATGTATCTCAACCATGCTTGATTACATGGATCAACCTTCAGTTTCGACGTGCACAAGCATAGGAAATTCGACCAAATAATCTAGTCAGGCAAAGAAACAATGATCAAGGTAATGCCCAAAAAAGGCCTGGGGTTTCTTCAAGGATCATCACAAGCATAGGATCAAAATCAATCAATAATAAATAAAAAAACAAAAGGGTATTACTTATGTATTGAAATTCTTCAACTCTTTACATAAGAACAATTTCTCATTACTTTAATCAGCATATTCCTAATAATGTGTACTCAACGGATGCAAGCACTGGGGAAAAAAAAAGAAAAAAAAAGCATCTAGATGGGTTTCTTCAATAATCGTCACATGGTTCCTATTCGACATTACTGCAATCAGCATATATGTTCCCCAACTAATCCAATCAGGCAACAAACAAGAATTCAGACAAAACCTTAACATGGGTTTCTTCTATAACTACAAAACCTTAATAATCGTCATAACTGCTCATGATCAAGAACAATTTCTCATAAGAACAATTTCTCATTACTTTAATTAGCATATTCCTAATAATGTGTACTCAACGGATGCAAGCACTGGGGAAAAAAAAGAAAAAAAAAGCATCTAGATGGGTTTCTTCAATAATCGTCACATGGTTCCTATTCGACATTACTGCAATCAGCATATATGTTCCCCAACTAATCCAATCAGGCAACAAACAAGAATTCAGACAAAACCTTAAACATGGGTTTCTTCAATAATCGTCATAACTGCTCATGATCAAGATCATCAAACAAGAGGGTAAATGAGCAACGCTTTATGCAGTAACCATTTTCCATTACTTCAATCAGCACATTACAAAAAAAATCACCAATTAATCAAACCAAGCAAAAAAAAAAAGGAATCTAGACAATACCCAACAAAAACTAACATGGGTTTTCTTCCATGATCATCATAACAAGCTTAGAATCCGAAAATCAAGAAAAGGGCAAAAGGAGATTGAGAGATTATTACTGGGTTTTGAGTATTCAAAGTAATTGAACGGTGAGTGATGGCCTGAGCTCCAATGTCTCCGAGTCCCCAAAGAAAGCCAGAGCTGATGACTTGGGTCTTCACGGGATGAACAGCGAGGTAAATAAAAGAAAAAAAGGTCGATTTTAATAATAAAAAATTTAAATAGGGCTAAAGTGAAAATTTGTTCAATTTTTTGGGATAATTTTGAGGAGGGGTCTGAGAAGAGTTTATATAGTTGGTGTAATTTGTGGGGGAGTGGGGTATTTTGGGGTACAATTACCCAACAAACCAATAACACCAGTTTGTTGACTCCAGATCCAACTACACCAATGAATAACACTAAAAACTAGTGTTCCAAAAATTATCCCATTACCCCAATATTTACACCAATGAATGGTTGGGACAAATTGGGGCCAAGTGGGAAAATTATTCCAATGGAATAATTTTACCCCTTTGGGATAATTTGAGTGGGGTGAAGTTGGATAATTTGAGCCTTTGATTTGACAATTCATGTGGGATAATTGATGATGTGACACCTTATTAAATATAATTTTATCTATTAATTACTTCTAAATTAACTTATCCAATTGGTTTAGTATATTATTTAGTATATTATTATAATATAAATATTATTTTACTTTATATTAAAATATAATATATTATACTATACTTACAAATTACTATTATTAATTATTATATTGTATTATATTATATTATATTAGCATGATATACTATATATAATAATTAATATAATATAATATCAATATATTTAATATAATATTTTAATAATATAATATTTAATATAATACATTATTTTATTTATACAAAAATATAATATGTTATACAATAATTACTAATTAACATTATATTAGTATGCTACATTATATAATAATTGATATAATATATGAATAATATATATAATATAATACTTTAATAATATATTATTTAATTTAATATATTATAATATAGTATCATAGGATATAATGTACTTTATAAAATATTATAATATTTTACTTTATTCAATGTAATATTTTTTAAAATATTATATTAAATTAAAATATAATATAACATATATATATTACATGATAATTACAATAATATATATTAAAAGGTATCATGTTATAGT